CCTGAGGTATAGTTCCCACTCAGTTAATAACAAACTGTGTGATCTTGGGTGAGATACCTAATCTCTCGGGGCGCAGGCTTTCCTCTGTAAGCTGCAATTCCTTCCAAAGTTTAAACGGATCAACTACTGTCCCCTCTGACTCTGTGGCTGGGCTTTTCAAAAGTCTGGAAACTCAGGGGAAACTAATAATGTGTCAAGGAGTTTATAAAGCGACAGTTTAAACACAGCACAACTTTCTGGAGCTTCATTTCTGCATTTGGATATTTCTGGAGGAAAAAAATCAAATTTAAAAAATTGTAAAAATAAAATGGTTAGACTATAGAAGAGGATGCAAAATTCAAACTTTCAAACAGGAAACTTCAGGGGTGTTTTGTCCTTGCTGTCTGTTTTAGGTCCCCCCCCCAAAGTATGAGCATATTTACTCTCTCCTGTCACTTGGGAACTGGGTAGGAGAGTTTTCTAATGGGGGTTCGAGGATCACCAGGCAGTGAGCTGCAGAAACCTATATTGCTATTAAATGTAGGAGGGTTGGGGTGGGCGGGAGGGGGCTGCGTTCCCTTTCCTAAGGAGAGAGCTGTTCTCATCCCAAGCTTCACATTGTCGCCTGATGAGCTTTTGAAACACACCTAGGCCAAGTCCCGCCCTGACTGAGTGAGCCAGAGTCCTGGGCGTGTGGTCAGTACTCCATGGCTTTGAAGACCTTCCTGGGTGATTCTGATGTACGGTGTGGGCTGAGTACACTGACTTATGATGTTTCAGACTTGGGAGTTCAGGGAACCCCAGAGTGTTTATGTCCAAGGAGGGGAAACAGTGACGGACAGACAGCTCCCTCCCCTCTACCTTCCAACTGCTGCTTAGACTAGTGGGCAGATGAGACTGTATTCTAGAAGCCCGTGCCCCTAACTAAAAGAAAGGGCAGTGAGATTGTGGGACGTGGAGTGGAGAGCAAGACAGAACTTTGCTGGGTAGGGGCAGGAAGACATTCTGGGTTGGAAAGTGCCCCCTAAAATTCATGTTCTTCTTGGAATCTCAGACCATGAATTTATTTGCAAATAGGGTCATTGCAGGTAAAATTAGTTAAGATGAGGTCATACCGGAGCAGGGTGAGCCCCTCATACAATATGACTGCTGTCCTTGTAAGAAGAGGAGAGACACACAGAGAAGAGGCCATGCGACAACAGAGGCAGAGATCAGACTGATGATGCAGCTGGAGACCAAGGATGGCTGGTGACCACCCGAAGCTGGGAGAGAGACCTGGAACAGATTCTTAAGAGCCTCCAGAAGGAACTAACCCTGCCCACACCTTGCTTTCAGACTTCTAGGCTTTAGAGCTATGGGAGAATAAATGTCTGTTGTTTTAAGCCAAGCTCTACAAGTTCGTGATACTGTTACAGATACCGAACAGAGGCTGATGTCAGTAAAGCCTGGCTATAGAAGCTTCTCCTGAAACACTGATGACAGGGACTGTGGCCTCTGCACCAGCCACTCTGGGGCATCCGGGGAGCTGTAGGGTGTGGCTGCCAAGGAAATTGAGAGGCAGGAAGAGAACACACAACAGTGGGCTTATCCTACTGAAAAACTGAAGGGACAGTGGAAGCTGTGACCTGTGCAAGGCATCACTCTTTGCAGGTAACACAAGAACAAAGGAGTCAGTTCACTCACTCTCCACCGACTACGGAGTCCTACGGTGTGCTGGGCTCTGAGAAGAAGGTACAGAGACCAGAGCCAGCCCTGCCCTGTCCTCAGGGATCTTGAAGGCTGGGTCCATGAACACTAAGATTTCTTCCAGCTCAGGCCTGTGGTAATTAAAAGGGCAAAGAGGGCAGCCTGGCTGGGGGCCATGGTGCAGCCATGGGGCATTTGGGGGACACTGCTGTCTCTCTGCCTGGACAGGGCCGAGGAAGGGCTGCAGGAGATGTGTTCCCATGAGGACATGGATCCAGACCCTGCTTTCCTCTGCAGACTTTACAGCAGGGCCAAAGTGGTCCAGGACCAGCACTGGCCTGGCCTGGCCGCTGCAACCACTGGCAGGATCTGGAGGCGGTGAGATGAGCCTTGGCGGCCACCACTAATTGTCCAAACCCGAGAATATTTTCAGCCCATTTGCACTTATCAAATATCACCCTGGAAACCCCAGCAATTGGCTCAGGATCGTGTCCAGAACGAGAGGGATTTCACACATTCAGTCTGGTGCAGGGGAGTTTCTTGGAATGGCAGCCTTGGAGGGGGCCTGGCCTCCTCGTTCTGGATCACCCACCTTCACACGCTCCCCGCACATTGGGCCATACATCCAAAGGCACCCTCAGACAGACGCTCCAGCCACAAGATCTCTGAGTTCCTCTGGCTGGCTGGTTTCCCCTTCACATTTTGGGGACTCCCATGGCCCTCGCAACCAGGGATTCTGGCAGTCCAAGAAATACAAAGTTCAGGCCCTGAGACTGTGGTTTTTCTGAAACTCCAGTTCATTTGGGCTAGAGGTGAGCGCTTCCCTCCCGAGACCCCGGCAGGCGGGTCTGAAGCAAAGTTCAAGGAACAGTCGCTTCCCCCATGGCTTGGTGGTGATCCTCCGGCCCAGGTTCAGCTTGACAACATGTTGACAGGCGACAAGGCTGGACTGGAGCAGTGGCGCGAGGCCAGACTAGGTACCTGGGTTCCCTGCTCCGACTTGACAACAGTTTAACAACAGCCGTAATCATCAACTCTCCGAAGGCCTTTATTAAAAGTTCCATGTTACCTGACACTTGAACATAATTAAAACAGAATAACCGTTTGCAGTTCACTTTACCTTTTATGACCTCATGGATTTTTACAAGGACGTCCCAGAATGCCTCCTTTTCAAAGCCTAAGGGGTATGCTGGGGGCCCCCAGAAAGAGTCAAGAGTGGAACCCCAATCTCCTCATACTCATAAATGAAAAGATGAAAGAGAAAACAGGTCCTGTTTTTCATGGTTATAAAAGTAACACATGGTCACAGAGGACATGTTGAAAGCCACTGAAAAGGCTGAAAAATCAAATAGAAGCCACCCACAATCCCACCCCTGGAGACCATAGTCAGTGTTCTGGGGTGTATATACCCTTCCTGAGTATGAACATATCTCTTAATATCTGTACCTTAAAAATAAAAGTGAAAACAGACTGGCATGATAATTCATAATTCCATAAGCGAGGCCCTAAAATCGCATTGGTTGGAGATGATGATGACTTCAGCTTAGACTTGTTGGGGTTGAAGACACTGCAGGGTGAGACTTTCAAGGGTGAGGAAGGGGTAATGACCAGTATCATGCTTTAGAAAGGGCAAGGAAAATAAAGAATGAGAAAAAGCCATTGGGCATGACAATTAGGTGGTCTTGGTAACCTTAGTGGAGAGGACAGAGGCTGGTGTACGGGAGGGAGGCAGTAGGTAAGTAGGGTAGGTGGGTAGCATTTGTTGTACTCTCCTGTGATATATGGAAATTAAAAGCCAGGAGAATAACATGAGTGGACAGCAGAGTTGAGTGATGAGAGCCTGATGCATATTTGAATAAAGAATGAAACTCAATCATCAAGATATTCAGCCCTGATCCCATTAAGTACTTCCTCTGAGAGTTGGCAAACTGATATCCTCTAATCATGCCTTATATTTATAAAGGCCTTTCTCCAAAGAACTCCAAGTGCTCAATAAACATTAATTAATTCACTCTTGCAGCCTCCTTTAGGGAAAAATTGGTGGCAGTTATTATCGTAATGTTTACAGGCACAGATCCTGTGGCCAAGATGAGAATAATGCTGCCCGCCAAGGTCACAAAGCTAGCCGGGGTGGGAGGTGTTGTATCTGGCCCCGCCCCTTCCGCGGCTAGGCCATTCCTAAAGGACTCACATCTTGCCAGGCCCCCCCCAAGTTGCTGGTGAAACTATGAGACCAACTACAGGGTCTGATGCTTCAGGGGTGGTTGCAGGATAAACCCAAAGGGATCTGAGGGCCCGCCGGCTGTGGGGCTCAGGAACGGATCTTTTGTTTGCTCAGTCCTGGACCACATGGGGGCCTGAGCAGCTTCCTCTGCTGCATCCTTAAGGGTCATAAGCAAATGCTGGGTCTAAGCATCAACAAAACCACCAAACTCAAGAAAGCAAGCAGTTGTCCTGTTTGTTTTGTAGGTTCCCTCACACAAGAAACTCCCAGTTAAAAAGAAAAAAAAAAGAAATTCCTAAGCGCCTTCAAGTAAGGAAATATCTCCAATCCTTATGCTTCGGGCAGTGCAATTTCCAGCCATTGTTCAGAAGCAAAATGATCTCCAAGTGTGAAGAGTAATCAAGGACAGCCCACTAAAAGGATGATGTGGTCACCTCTGGTGGTGAGTTTGGGCTTTATCAGGCCAGGAAAAGAAGGGAATCCCAAAGACCCCAAAGGTGGAGGTGGTCTGCAAAGCACCCCCCCCAGCTGCATCCCCCAAGAGTGCAGACGTAGGGACCATTAACTTAAAGTCACGCTGTGCTTCCGGGATTGGGCCTATGAGCTGGCACTGCTCAGGCTCTTAGCTAATGAGGACTGGCTCTTGCAGGATCAGCTAAGTGGTTCACATTCTCAGTCTGGTGTTTATACCACTTGGGTGGACCTGGGAAATTCAAGGGGCCACCGGCATGTTGGCCCAAAGCCAGGGTTTAATTAAGGCCCAAATCTCTAGTGATTTCACCAGGGGCCTGATCCCCGTGAGGCCAGCCAAAGTGAGAGGCGTCCCAAAGACCATTGGATCCGCTTCTTTTGAGCTTCCCCTCCACCCATTGTTTGTGGGGGCCTTGCTTGTTAGTGGGACTAATCCCCTCAAAGTCACAGAGCAGCGTACAGAAAACCGGAGGACCAGCCCTGCATAGGATCAGCTTAACTATGGCGCCTACCACAGCATGCAGGCAGTTTCCCACACCCGTCTGTCCCATGCCAAGGAACAAGGATATTCATGAGGAACGACAGGGCAGCTTAGCACAATAACACTTTCATTGTGAGGTTGCTGTTGAAGAATCCTTGATGTTTGGTCAGAAATTACCAAAAACATGTCGTTCGGGAAATAGAATGATTAGGGTGGACTATTTGAATTGGGAGATCCAGAAGGCCCAGGCACCTGCAGGGCAGAGGCCTGGGACCCACAGCCAAGGCCTAATCTCCAGGGGACCAGCAGGCCCCTGGGAAGGAAGAGGGTGACGTGAAGAGCTTCTGAATAGAGAAAGGACTTGCGACTTTTGGGGAATTTCTGTCTTCTTTTTCTTTTATCTCTCTTTCATAGCCATGGAACAGAGAAATTCCAGCTTCTTACAATAAAGGTGAAGAGGGCCCACCCATGGTCTGAGTGGCTGATAGAGAGCTGATTGGTAAAGGTCACAGTACAGGCTGAACGTCAGCGGGGCTGCTCGGATGGAGGGCTGTGGGAAAAGAGCTGTAAAGTCTTGGCTTTCTCCAACTTTCTTTATCCATTTGCAGAGACTAAAGGGTGAGTCCTTGGGTCTTGGAGTCAGATGGCCTGAGTCTGCACCCTGGAAGATGCCCCTTGGAAATCGGGTCCTGCTCCACTTGGGAGCCTACAAGCCTCGTGGTTTCTCTAGCAGCACTGAGGCCAGCGGGTTTCCCAAAGAGGGCGGGGCCAGGCTTCTGCCTCATGGCATCTCCTCCCGCTGCACCTGGGGAGCTAGCGTGCCAGCCTCCTGGGTGTTTGTGAAATGAGTTACGGTATATAATGTCCGAAGAGTCGGGCACTCAAGTTCTCTATTTTAGTCCCATATCATCACCATCCTTCTTGGCCTGAGTTTTGGTTGGCTCTGGAGCCTGGCCCACACTGCCACAGCTCCTGGCAGCCTCCCTGTGTTCAGACAGTGTGGGGACAGGGCCCTGGCCCGCCGTGGGTCCCCCCCAACACAGCAGCCGAGGGAGCGGCCGCGCAGACAGGGCGCTGGAGGTGAGCGCCGCAGTGTTTGCCTTTCCAAAGTGCCGCTGTGTTCCTGAAGGCCCGCAGCTTCCTCTGCCCTGCTGGGCTTTTTTTCTTCCCAGTTCCTCTCAGTGATATCTTAAGAGGCAAACTTCCAGCACTAACAGGAGGTCTTTTGTTCTCCTTTTCTCTAAGTGGACTTTAACCCAGTTACGACAGATGAGTCACTGAAAAAACAAACAAATAATAAGACTCCATTTTCTTAAAGGCTCTTCCCTGCCTGCTGACAGAAAAGGGGGAACCTGACACTGCACTGGGCCTGTGGGGCTTCTCCCGGGCCCATAGCCCGGGAGAACCTTCCAGAACACTCTGGAGCCCAGCACCATGGAACTGCTTCGTGAGGCTCTGGCTTGTTTAGAATTTCCTCTGATTTGGAGTGGCCCAGGGGCTCCTAGGAGTTCTGGTCCCAGCCTGATCCTGGTTGGGATTTACATCCCTGGATCTGCTACAAACTAAATGCTGGACTGGCTTCCTGTCACACTTCAGTTTCTTTATATGTGAAACAGGGGTATTAGACACTCTATGATTTTTATCAGGAAGGACCTGGCAGTAGAATATCTTCTGCTCTGTTAAAAGACTCCAAGGCATGCTCACTACACAAATGTAAGCCTGCATCCATTCAATGAAAGTTCACCAGGCACTCAGGTAGGCACTGGGGTTGCAGAGATGGTGCCCTCAGGGAGACATGCAAGTAAATGAATGCTGTGACTTCGGATCCAGGGAAGATGGCACCTGAGCCAAGGGTGGGGTGAGGTAAACCTAGAGGTTTGCTCTAGGAATGCTGGGAAACTCTTCTTACCATGAGTGCATGCTCATCAGTCGCTTGGGGGGCGAAGGGAGCAGATTTGGCAGGCAGAGGGAGTGAGGGGCATAACCACAGGACTGAGACCCATGGCCTGTTTGGACCTACCCTTGTGCAAGCCCTTTCTAATCTTTGTCCAGGCATATTCGCCTATATGCTTGAGTTGAGCTGGACCCTCCTTTTCCTGAGAAAGAGCTGTCTCTGAACATGCTGCTGGCTTCAGGACTCTGGTCTGAGATATCTTCTGGCTGCCTCAAACATAAAGGCTTGCTTTGGGCCACTAGTCCCCTGGGTTCACTGCCGAAGAGTGGTCATGGCTCCTGATGGGTGGTGGTGTCTATGTTCTCCAGAAGGCTGTCACCCACTGTAACAGTCACTGTGTCCTGACTCCCTGGAGTGCAGATGCATAGTGAAACATACTCTTGTCTACAATGAAAACATCAGCTCAATTGCCTGGAAAATTTCTGCTCACGGTCAACCCCAATTTACAAGTCTTCTGTACTGCGAAGAGCCCTGGAAGTTGTAGGGAGAGTGAGTACCCCTTGTCTTTGTGCTCTGGGGTTCGTTCTTGCTTTAGGCTCTAACCATAATCTATTGTAATTTCTCAGTTTCCCTGAATGCCCTTCTCCTGGGCTGTGAGCTCTTGGAAGGGATGATGGGCAATGTATAGTATTTGGTTCATGTTCATACAAGGTGTTCAACTGATGTGTTAAACAGACACAGGAATGAATGAATGAGGTTTGAGCTGGTTTGTTTCACATAGTCTAAACATGACATCAGCTGAAAGCTCCACCTTCATCATCAGCTTTGATAATAAAACAAGGTTCTAAGGGTTTCCTACTGGTAGCACCAATTTGTGCACAAGTAGATCTCTCTTCCCCAGAAGCTACTTGCTCTTGAGAATTTAGATTTTTTTTTTTTGAGAATTTAGATTTGAAATCACTGAGCCCACCGTGGCACTCGAGGGAAAAGGGGACCCTTGTCTATTTTTTTCACGCTGACTTCCCTGCTTTAGCAAATCCCGGGAACTGAAACCGTGAGGATCCTCTGTTTAATCTGTTGGGTTTGTGCCCCCTGAGATACAGTACTTTATATTTCTGTGTCAATCATCTGAAAAGTGAACATCTCCCCGTCTTGTGATCTGGCAAGACTTCATTCCAACTGGAGTTAGTCTAGGTCTATCGCCTTATTTATATATAGCTAGATATAGATATAGATACAGATATAGATATCTATCTATCTATCTACCTACCTATATTGAGGCACCTTATCAAGGGCCAGTCTGGTGGAAGCCTTATTCTACAGGGAAGTGCACCTCGACTGGCCCTTCCTTCCACAGTCTCTATTCTGCCATGTTCAGGTGTCCCTAGGTGATCAAGAGCAGAGGACAGGAAATTATTTCAGTGGTGGGGCTGAGAGGGTACAGACCCCAGACTAGCCCAGCCTCAGCTTATTTCTCTGCTTTGGGAGAACTCAGGCCCCTGCCTCAGATCTCATCTCTTGGGGTTGGATTGCAGCTTTCAAAGGAGGAATAAAATATTCCAGGAACAGTGTCTGTGTCAATGACAGTAGCTGGTTAATTACTTCTGAGAAAATGGAAAGCTTGGTCTCCTGATGTGTGCGATGACAGACACAAGAGGAATTTTCCAATACAATAGAGGAATGAATTTTCCAAGGACAGGCTGACTGAGAAAAGCCACCATCTGACTATGCACCAGTAGGGTAACGTGGCACCCCTAGAGTGGCAGAGTTGGCAGCTGAAATAGTGGCCTGGTAGGACAGCAGTGCTCCCCCTACTGTAAGATCTGTGACCTACAGGAATGGTGACTTCAGGACAGGGGGAACACTTGGAGTGCAGTTTCCTGTGGGGAGGAGGGAGACGATCTAGACCGATTTGCTTAGGACGGCAGTGGTGATATGGTACAGCTAAAAGCTAGAAAAGTTCTTTAAAGTCTGTGACAGAAATGGTGTCCACTCAGGCCTGTCTCTGTTCTGCAGCATACTCTACCATAGTCCAACTGTTCCCTTCTATGAACTCATTTCTTACTCCCTTCGTCTACTCTCTACATGGGACACCTTCCTTGGAGCTAGACACATAAAGCCAGGTTGTCCTAGTCCCTTAGTTTTGGTCTCTCCAAGTCCCTTCATCATCCTTCCTTAAGAGAAGAAGGGCCATGGCTCTCCCAGCTCCTTTCCATCTTACTGCCACAGCAGGTTTCAAAACTCCGAGGGACAGGATGCTGTCAAATGGCCCAGGAGAAGGGATGAAAACCCACGGAACAGCTGTTGAGGTTTATAATTGTCCTCTGTAAGCCCCTATACACATATTAAAGATCCCTTGGAGAAGATTTTTTTTTTTAATGGAGGTACTGGGGATTGGACCCAGGACCTCATGCATGCTAAGCATGTGATCTACCACTGAGCTATGGCCCTCCCCCTGAGAAGCTTATTCCTGATGAGGAAAAAAAATGATTTATTCCCAGTGCCAGGTAGACATGAACCCTTTCCATAGCTGTTACTGTCAGTGACCCCTTGGCGCTGTTGTTTAGGACATGGGCTATTCCAGGCTTCTCGCTCCATCAGTATCTGAAGTGGGAAGGGCTGAGGAATTCGAATCTTCAAAATAAAATGGAGAATAGACATGGGATAAGAAACAGGAAACACATCTGTTGATCCCTCAGATAATCATTTTTTAAATATAATTTTTTCCTGATTTTGGAATAATATATGTTCATGGGAGAAACTCTGAAAGATAGAGACAAATCCAAGAAAGAAAACAAAAGTCAAGCCAAATCTTAATACCCAGAGGCAGCACTGTTAACGTTTTTATTCATATTCTTCCAGTTAAAAAATGTGTGTGATATTTTTTCTTGCAGAACTGCTACATTCTGTATATACTGCCTTGTAATCTGCTTTTCCCTTTAATGATATGTTATGAACATTTTCCCGTGAGATAAGCCTTCTTCTAGCACATAATTCTAATGACTGCCTAGTCTTCCATCATACAGATGTTCCTTCAACTAATACCCTGTGGGTAAACATTTAGGTTGTGCCCCTCTTTTTTTTTTTTGCTATTGTAGATAACAATTTGTACATGCTGGGGAAACTAACTCAGACTGCTTCATTGTCCTGGTCACAAGTCACTTGGTCCTTCTTCAAAAGCTATCGGCCATTTGTTGGCCAGAGAAACTGCATCGCAGTTGACTCCCTCCCCTGAAAATCCTTGCTCAAAACACAAGGATAAATAATCTACTCAAGCTTGAGCAGTACTGAAAGTTCTCTCAATTGTGCAGAAACATTCATTAATGTAAAAAGATAGCTATATGCAACTTATTTCTTCACAGATGTCTTATCTGAGACAAAACGGGGTCCCTTACCTGGTTCCCCATAGACCTGGTCATCTTTTTGACAGGAGAGGTGAGATCATTGTAATAGCTGGGGAAGCTTGTAATTAGCAAGGCTAAGTCAGTAAAGGCAGCGGGAAGCATGCATTCTGGACTGAATCACCCATCATTTTGAATCATCTTCCATGTTTAGTATTGTCGGTGTCGCTGTTCTGCTCCGTTAGATAGCTAGTCACGAGGGGAATAGTGCAAAGGCTCAGGCTCCCAGCATGACAAGGAGTTTACCCAAACACTGGGTTTGGCCTAGTCAGAGGAGAGCACTGAGCAAACTCCCAGCTGAGAATCTGGGGCAAAATCTAGGTCACTGGTTCCCAGTTCAACCTGACTTCAGGAAACTCAAGCTGCCACATGGGGGTGTGCGTAGACACCTCCAGTCTCCATAGTGCTGGGACTTCAGCCCAGAGGAAGCCAGAGAGGACGTCTCCGAGGTGGAGGGGTACGTGCTGCACACCTAGAAGGCTGGGTCAGTGGGGGGGCAGATCAGTGGTCACCTCCTGTGCCATTGCCCCCTTCCCATCTCAGCAGCCCTGCCCACATCTTCAGCACCGGCCGTTAAATGATGAGATCTCGAAGGAAGAAATTCTCGTTTCAGGGCAAAGTCTAAGACCCTCTTGCCAATCCTCTGAGGCCCTGAGGCTTCCAAAAGAGGCCTGTAGAGGAAGACTTCACGGAGAGGAAGAGTTCAAGGGACGTGTCATGGGAATGCATATGGTGGCTGAAGTGTGCAAAGTAGGAGAAATTAAAAATAGGTGGGGAAGAACACTGGCGCGTGCATGCACCGCACACGCGCACACAAGCACACTCACTCACAGTTTAACGGGGTTTCTGGGAGAGGAAATTGTAGTCTCCAGTGTGTATAAAAACCCTGGAGTCAGCTCTTTAAAGAGAGTGGGGGTGGGGGGCTGGGCGGATCACAAGATCCCCCTTAGGCAAACATGTTCATCCTACCTCCAAGGGCCCTCCTTCCCTCTCAGCTGCTCGCCTGTGTCACCAGACATCCCTGCCCAGTCTGACAGTCCCACGTCCACAAACAAAGCACCCCAGGGAGCCTTTCCTTTCCCAAGCTGCTCAGGGGTCTTCTGGGGTTGGGAAGGATTCTTTCTGGGCCGTTCCAGCCCAGGCTGATGAGCTCAGCTGTCTCCTCTTCTAGGAAAATAGGCAGGGCTTATGGGAAAGATTTACTGCAACAGAACATGGCTGTCTTCCACCACCTCCCCTGGTTACCCCGTCTTTCTTCCACACTGGAGACCGAGGTTGGGGAAGTTTAGGAAGTTTATAGCGAGGGGGCTGGGAACAGATCAATATTCCCGTCCTGGGTGATGGCGATGTGTGCAAAGGCAGTGGGAGCCTCTCTTCACATCCATAATTGGACAGTAGTGGGGCCATTCTCAACCAGCCCAGAGAAATCCCCCACTTCCAACCAGCCCTGGTGCCAGGCAGCTGCATCTTGGCTTCTTGTAACTGAGGAGGAGGAGCCCAATGCCCATTTGCCAGCCTGTTACACTAAGGACATGAATTTCCCCCCTGTCTCATCAGATCTTATCTCTTTTCCTCTTTGAAGCCCACAAGGACGGGCCCTATTTGGTCTCTTCTACAGTTTCCTTCTCTCTACCACTGAGACGACTTGGCCCCGACCTGCCGTCTCTGCTCTTCAGGCCCTACTGCAGGCAGAATAAAATGGTCCTGGTTCTGTCTGTCCTGCTGCTGCTCCTCAGTCTGACAACAGATTCTGTCTTGGTCCTGTGCTTGGGTTCCTGCTTGGGAGACCTCCTGGTGTGCCCATCTCTCTGGGATAACTTAGGAGGCCCTATTTTCATCATTCCCCATTTCAAGTTCTGGAATCCCACCCTGAGCCCATTCTGCTGGTCCTGGCCGTGGACCTTGTTGCTATCCAGAGGATAAGATCGATGTCTGATTCAACTCTGGGTCCCACATGGAGCCACTAGTGCAATGCCTAACACACAAGAGGTGTTTGATTTACATTTGCCAAAGGAAATCAATGTCAAAATGCTCGGTGCCTCAGTTTCCTCATCTGTACAATGAGATAACAGCAAATAGAATGTTGTGAATCGATGTCAGGCACTTACAACAGTATCTAGCACATGGCAAATCCACATGAAAAATTACATAATACTTGTACCCCATAGATCCTCACAGAATTAAATGAGATAAATATATGCTAAGTGTCTAGCACAGGGGAAGATTTCCCTGAACGAGAGCCAAAAAATCATTAGTTTTACTACTGTGATTATTTGAAAACTGGGATACATATGTTTAAAGCATTTGGGGCCACTCAGTCCTCTTCTTGTGACAGAGTCCTCCCTTTGAATTCAAGGAAGACCTGCTTCCTCCTCCCTCCCTTCCCTTGAACACACACACACACACACACCCCTCCCCCTCCACTGCACCTCTGCCCTCACATTTATGGTGCAGTTTAGGCCTCTGGGGTTTTGCTGTTCCCCTATCAGCCCATGAAAACAGGGCCTCCTGAGATAGGGAGGGGGTTTGGTCCTTGAGGTCCTGGAAAGTATCCACTTCCTCCCTCCTTATAAGGAGGGGATGCAACATCACAGCTATCTGGAAAGAAGGCTGGGCCAGGCCCCTCAGGGATGGGGACCTTTGGAGAACAGGGAGAGTGGGCTTCCCTTTGACCATCTGAAAGTCGCTAGCAGCCCACTCTGTGCCAGGCTCCACACTGTTCTAGTTTCCAGGCTCCATTCCTCCGGTGGGATCCACTAGTGACAGGAGAAAAGAGAGGTGCCAGGAGAACCGTGTTGGGCACCTGGCTGGCCGATCACTTCCACCTCCCCAGGGCTCAAGACTGCAAGTCCGATGACCATTCGGGATCCGTAAAGTTCTCCCCAAGCAAAGCCAGAGCCTCACATGGTAGCAGAAACCGGGCACATCTGAGCAACGAGGGGAGAGATGCTCTTGCAGATACTTGTTGTGGGAAACCCTGGGGAGCGGCAGAATGAAACCAGCAACCGCATCTCCCCCACTCACCTCCTCGCCCCTCACATACACACAAAGGGGTAAACCCCAGGGAAGCAGAGCATCAGAGTCACAGGGCTGTTGATGTTGAATTGATTTTAACCATCAGAAGGATTGCTGGTTGTGATGTCACCATATAGTTGTTTCTGGAGAAGTGTCCACATTGGAGGAGGGTTCTGGAGGGACTTAGGAATAGAAAAGCCAAGGGGACGGCTCCCCTCTTCCTCTTTGTTGGTGCGTGTGTGACAAGTGAGGCATACAGAAGGGGACATTCTCAGGACTCTGCCGTTCAGCATGCCCAGCTTGGTGAGCCCGGCATAGGGGACCATTGTTCTCTCGCTCTTGCTTTCCAGTCTTCTTCCAGCCTCCACTCCCCAAAGTCCTCACACGTGTCACCTGTTGTTGGAACCCAAGCTGATCCCACTGTGGCTGACTTCGTCTAGCAGCCTCCCTTAATCCATTGTGGGGAGAGTGTCACAACTCAGCCTCCAGAACATGAACAAACAAGAAGCAGGGTTTTAACTTGTTTCAGTAGGTAGGAGAGAAGACAGGGCTCTGGGTATATTGCACCTGGTGACACTATCACAATGGGGAGAGAGGGGACAGTGGCTGCCTTGACCTTCTTAGGTGTGGCTGAGCTCGTCCCTCTGGAAAGGCCCATCATGATGAGGGTGTTGAAGATGGGACATCCTGAAGCCTCCCCGCCCCCTACTGCCATGGTCATGGTCAGCGTCAGGTCACCCACGGTGGTCTGCAGTAGTTGGTGGTTAGCTCAGCATTAGACATACCCTGAGAGGTGAGTCTGTATCGTCAGACAGTCAGGTAGAAGGCTGCAGGGACATGGAGGAATTAAGACTGGATGGCCCTCCCAGGAAATGGGCAACCCACATAAGGCAGCAGGTGGTGTCAACACCCAGCACTCCAGGTAGAACTGTCTATACCTGAAGTGGGAGCCTAGAGGAGGAATCCAGCTCCACTCCTCAATCTTGGGAGGCAGTAAGGGGTTCTGAGCACTAGGCATGGACAGGCCTTCAGCCGAAGACCCAACATCTCCAGGCTTGCTTTGTTCTGGGAACCAGACTCTGAGACAGCGACCCCAAGCCCTGCAGGGCAGGGGCTGGGAACACCCGCATGCCGGCAGCCAGGTGGAATTACAGGTGTCGATGTGAGGAGTGGCCAGACTGGTTTCAAGCTTGTCACCTACCCGTGGAGAACTGGTTCCATTTTTTAACAGCTGTCACCTTGGCCCCACCTGAGCCTGGGGCAGGCCAGCTGGCCGGGCAGTTTGACGAGATGCGGGCTGACTGCGGTCCCAGCTCTCCCTCCATCAGGCAGCGAAACCTTCCCAGACCCACAGGTCCTGATGGACATGAGGCTGTTCGGGTTTTCTGGAGGGACAGGCCTGAGGCCGAGGCCAGCGCTAGCTTTCAGAATCCGAATCTGGGAGGACACACTAATCAGTTGCCCTGAGGTGGCCTGTGTGGGGACAAGCGGGGGATGAACATGAGGTGTGACTGGAGGCAGGGAGGGAAGCTTTGAACTGGGGCTCATTCTGAAGCAAAAAGAAATGTCAGTGTAATTTTGACAAATACATACCATGAGCACAGATTTGTGTGCATATGGAGTGAGTGTGTGAGTGTGTGTGTGTGTGTGTGTGTGTGAGTGTGTGTGTGTGACTCAAAGAGACAAAAAGAAAAAGGAAAAAAAAAAAAAAAATAACTTACTTACTACCTCGTACACTTAAGAAAGAAAATAGAAGTATGTCTGGGAGTCGTGGGACGGAAGGAGGGAAGGGAAAGGAACGGAAG